GATTTAGATCCATGCAGATCCCGAGACTAATGTTGAGGACGGGCGGGCTTGCCTCGGTTTCAGGAAGAGGTGTATTCGATTCTGGGAGTGGGAGAGAGAATGAACCGAAGCCGGTACCTGGACGATGAGGTCTTTGGTTTAGCGCCTTGTGAATGGATGGTGGAGGGAAAACTCGCACCTGGCTTCGCCCATGTCATGTCCGTCTGGAATAAATTTGTCTTTCGGTATCCTCCAACCCATTCTCCTGAAGGTCCATAGATAATCGCGCTGTTGGCGCCCACCTGGGTGCGAGGCTTGGGCTCAGGCTCAGGCGAGGAAGTCGAGATCGGGACAGGGGTATCATCCGATGGCGGGTTTTCCATGCCTTTGGCTGGCAAAGATTCCTTCGCCACGACGCCAGTTACATCCTTGGATCGCTCCTCATCAGACAGGCGTTCGGGGTATCCGCCAGCCACGTAACAGCCTAGGTATTTCGCGACTTCTTGACAGAAAAGAGAGCTTGGGCCTGTCCTAGGTTCCTCGAGATACGGTGAGATGGCTTCTGCAGTGTCAAATACGTATCCTGAGATATGAATCAATGTTGGGCTGACAATAACAAGTGTCTGGGGGAATGGTAGATGTACCTTACCAGTAAAAGCCATCTCGGGGAAGCAAAGGAGATCGATTGTGTTTGGCTGGAGCCTGATTTCAGGTCAGATTGTGAACCTTTCGACCCAGTTAACGGAAAGACGCACTTAAAGCACATTTCGCGAGCTCTTTCGATGTTAGCATCGACCTGTCCTATCTAGATACCGTCCTCGAAATGGGTCTCTCATAAAACATTCCCATTGCTAACCTTGGGCCTCAACTGGACGACTGCAATGCGAAGGGGAGTGCGTGGAGGCTGGACAGCAACTGGCGATATTGGTACAGTCATTTTCTTCCAGAGTCTTTGAAGTAGCGAGATTCTTATGAGCGTCGTAGTGAATGATTGATGATCGTAGAACTGGATCAACTTGACTCAAGCCTGGATGAAGGAAAGCTTAACATCGAATATTGATGAGTTCGGCGCCGCCGCTAGTGACCGGGACTCACCAAAACGTTGTGGGTCACATGTCTCAGACGCGACGGTCACGTTGACTGGCGCGTTGCGCTTAACACTGATAGTGAACACACGTATCATGCTCTCTAGCGAGCTTTGTTGACGCGGGACACCCGCCGAGCCGATCCGCTGGCGGGGGGGCCTTATATTAGTCTGTCCCTGAGACACGGCGGCTGTGCAGAGGGACGGGAAGGCGTTGGTCGTCGTTGTTGCAGGCGAGCGGGGGTGGAACAATGGGTCGGGTGCGGCAAATCTGATGTCGGCGGCATGTCTCTTGGGTAGCCGGGCAATAGATTGATGACTTTCTGCTTGCCTGATGGTGTTTGCGAGCAATCTAATCAGTATCAAGGGTCCAGCGTGTCTGAAAGCCTGAAAACATCATTTTCTTCCTGGGACATCGCTGCACACATAGCGGCCTGCCAGAAAATGCGTGTCCCACCAGAAACCAGATCCCTCGTCTGCTTCTGGGACACGCCGCGATGATCCGGGCAAGCGAGATCATGGCCTCCTCGTCCCGAGACGTTCTAAAGGTTGCTTAGACACTAAGTACACGGGCTGGAGATACCTTACAGTATTTTCCCAAACAATGTGCTACACCATTAAAATCCGACCAATGACTGGCACCACGCAAAAACTTGAAGTGACCGCACTGGCACAGTGCACAATGCTCACGTTGAGGGATTCTTATATTGACGTTAAGTTCAAGCCTCGACCATCATTGAAGGCTTGGTTCAATGTGATGAGATGAATATACCTATGTGGTACAATGCATGTGGTCATATAAAATATTGAATCAATCCCCCTCTTCCAAAGAAGTTATCGAGGGTCTCATTCAAAGACCTTGCCCCCAAACCGTCAACTGCACACAAATTCATGGTCAGGCCCTAGGTTGAAGACAAATGTCAAGGCGGACCTACTCTCAAGGCGCTCTCCAGGCACTTCCAAGGAATGTCCCCTCTTATAGCAACGCGTAAAGTGTTTCGCGTTTGATATGCAGATGGATTTGAACAGTGGGCGTTTGTCTAAGAGTTTCTGCATGAAGGCCTCGCTTTTGTCCCGGGCTTCTTGTGGAGTCTGAGTGGTATAGTCTAGATATAAATGTTCAAGGCCCACAGGCAGTTCGTCGATCGGAAATGTATCGAGGAAGTCCTATATGGCAAGATTGGATGATTATCACGACATAGAAATAAATGGGGAACATACAGGCAAAGTGTAGCGAGGCAAATTCCATTGATATGCCTCGAGATAGAGGACCTCGAGGTGCGGAAAAATCGAACTGAGAGTTGAAACGAACTCTTGGGTCAAGCTTTGAAGCTTCGCCTGGAAGAACACCAAATTCCTCAGACTTTGTGGATAGAAAAGAAGCCTGTCCATTAGAAGGACAGGATCACACCCTGTGTCGGGGCGGTCGTGAAGCGTCAACGACAGCATTCTATTGGCTGCAACGAAATGCAGGAGATCATACGGGCCAATATAATGCCGCACGGGAGGTGGTGAGTCGATCGGAGGCTGGAGGCTGTACAAAGATGTGTTTGGATCTCGAATATTTTTGGTGTACAACGCAACATGGAGTTTGGTGAGGCTCGGGAAACCTCGCAGAATCTGTGGAGCCCGCAGAAGGAGGTTTCGGGTTAGAGAGAAGAAGAGGCTATCCAGGTGCGGGAACGACGGCAGTGTTTCCGATTCTTTGAGGAGGACCTCAGAGGCGTGATCAGGCCAGATTCTGAGCTTGTGGAGATGATTTGTGTCCAAGATGCGTAGCCATTGCTGTGTCCCGCTCTGTAGCATCACCTCGGGGGTGGATGTGTACTCAAAGCTCACGGAGCGGACATGGATGGCAGGGAAGGGCGGGGTCAGTGGATGCAAGCGGCATACACTGATGGTGATCGACGGTATGTCCGGCAGGAGGGTGAGCTGTGACAACATCCGGGACGTGAATGTCAATGCGTGAAATTCATAGTGTTGTATATTGGGGAATCGGTTGAGAAGCTGGAAGAATTCGTCAAGGATGAGATTGGAATCAGGCGATTGGGGTTGTGACTGCCGCGGTGCCCGTACCCCGATCCCACCCCAGAAAATGTCCTGAGGTATGATGCGGCAAAAACGAACGTGAGGTGAAACCGTCGCTGAGGCGAAGCAGCGTAATTTCGCTGTCTGTTGTTGAGCCACTGGATCGGGCAGACTAACCTGACGGGTGTTGGCACTGTTCCTGGTGAGATTACCGAGATCGATGATGAATGGTGTGAGCTTGAATGTTTTGAAAACTCGAGCTGACGCTAGGAAGCGGAAACTCTGGCAAGTGAGGGTCGCTTCCAGGAGGTCCTTGAATGGCAGGTGTCCCAGGATTTCTCCCCAGACCTCATTTGGGAGGTGGCCTACATCAAATCGATGCTCAGATGACATGGGAGAACACGGGGCTTGATTTTTCTGAAGCCTGAAAGGCTAAGGGTTGTTGTAGAGTCAGTGAAGATTGAACGGCGAGATATGAACGAGACCCACAGAATTCAGAGAGGATCGATTCTTGCCTCCTCTGAAATGAAGTGGTTTAGTGTAGAATCGCGGGGGAGTTTCAGAGAGCCCGTCAAATGATGATTAATATGCTGAGGCGCAGCCCAACCTGTTCTTTGCTCTTTTCTGAAAAGTCATCACTTGATGATGGATCTGAATTGATCAAGGAATTGATGAAACTGGGCCAGGGTATCGCGTCGCGTCGTGTTGACCTCACGTGTCTTGAGCTCTTTCTCTTTTAATGATCCACCATTTCGCTCGTTCTCATTCCCTGCACCAAGTTTTACCGGAAGGCTGACGCTCCATTTCCGAGGACCGAGTATGATAGCCCGAATGCCAAAGAGCAGCGTTACTAGCCGGTCTGGGGATGGCTGAGCCAGCAGTGCAACGCACGGTGCATGCAGTTCATCTGATGCAGAAAGATAGACGGCTACCTGCGAGGGTGGGCAAATCGCTCGTCGTTAGAGCTCCAAGGTCGGGAAGGTGGTCGCCAAAGGAAGAGCCTGGAAGAATCAGTGGTGGTGGGTGACTGGTGGCTGTGAGGGTTGGACACGTCCGTCGAATCATTCGTCTCGTTTTGGCTTACGACTACAAGTTGGTACCGCAAATGCGCGAACGTGGGGGTGCTTCCGAGCCTCTGAACACAGGAAGTCCTGCTCATCAGCCAGCCAGCCCACCGAGACTCCTCTCAACGGAAATACCAACGAAATTCAGGGCATCTTCGCCTCAACTGCTTCCTGGTATCGAAACTGGTCGATTTATGGCACCCGAACCACCTCACTTAAGCTTCTCGAGCATCTCATTGTGAAGTGCACACGGTCCCGGCCTACATCCCTCGCCCCTCATCCCATTCCCCTTGGTCTGACTCGATGGCTTTCAGCCTTGCGAATATCCAAGACATATTCCCAACGGCAAATTGCTCTGCCAACCCAACGTCGATCCCATTCCCCCTTTCGTGTCGTGTGTGAAGCTGGGTTCGACTCTCCATCCATAAATTCGAAGCTGTATCCAAAGTTCTTTCATTCCTCTCCGCCTTCCCCTACCTCCAGCTCCTCTTCTCCACTGCAGCAGTGCTTTTCTTGATAGACCCAATACCGCTGCAAGTTACGGTATCCCAGCAGCCACCGGCACCATCACACAGCGACACAATCCATACCTCGCCTCCCGAGTCGGGGTTCGACTCTCCACTTAGGTATTCGGAGAACCGCTTTTTCTCGTGTAAGGGGCGCTCGAGAGTCTCGGGCCGTACTGTGGTGCAACGTCTATAACATCGCCACCTCTCAGACATCATGGAATACTGGATGCGGCAGCTTGGGGTTCGGTTCTCGGTACCTGAACTGCGGCTTGTATCGTTGTTTTGTAACCTTCAAGCATACTCTCCCCCTGATCTCATCCTCAGTAAAATTTGTCATCGGGTATGGTGTAACGGCTAACATTGCCGCCTCTCATAGGGGAATTGTTACAATTGCGCGGCAGCTCGGGGTTCGATTCCCCGTACCCGAATAATTACTTTATCACATTTATTTTGTCTCCGTCAGCTCTTCACCGTCTACAAGGCATTGCTAAGTTTGCAATAACTATTATCGATTATCGATGCATGAGGCGATGGTGAGGAATCTGGAAGTATTATTCGTGTGAGTGCGTTTCGGACTCAACAAGTAGCAAGTTAGAACTATACTCAGTTCTAATCAGAAACTACAGACAGCATAAACGTGAACATGGGCATGGTGATGCAAGCCAACGTATGTATAACGTATGTATATACGAGCACGATATGAGACGACGGACGATGAGAAATGTGAGATGAGACGATGACATAATCATGTAAATCGAACTATAGGACGCCATGGTACGCTCGCTCCCCCGAAACCTCCTCGTGCACTAGGTAGTGTAGTGTTGTATATATGCCGACATTTTGTGGCGTTTTTCGTGACGACTCCCACGTCAGTGTGCTGAGATCGATTTTTCTGCCCCTCTGAGTCTGCACATTGTGGCGTCGTGTTGTCCTGGCTCCGAAATATAGTAGACACACACATGGCCGAATGATCAATGGATGAGCTCACGCGCATCACCAACTTAGGCCTTCACCGCTGGTACGGGGTTCGAATCTCTGTTCACTGCCTCCTGGTGGACTTTAACTTTTGTGCAGGGATGTGCAGGGATGCCAAGTTCTTTTTGCTCCTCGGGGTTGAGATCGAGGCTGGGATCATAACACCCCCTCCACATCCGCCGCAACTTACGAAGAGGACGCATCATCGCGCCACCACTCGAGCGCCTGCGGAAGCGCTAGAGCTTGTGAGCGTAGTAGACATCATCTGGCTTGCAGGAGAATCATACAGGACCCCATGGTGCACCTACTCCCCCACTGAATAGGGCCAGCCATTCTGGGCACTGTGTTCGACTCCTTGCACCCCAGATCTTGTATAACCGGTGGATACTAGTGCTTCCCTTTTTTCATGACGATGTCCAGCACGCCAGGGTGCTAAAGGCCATTCTGAGTACCTTCTGATTGCGCTCCTTTGTATTTTGACGGCATAGCAATACCGCCTTCGTTCTGATGGACACGAAGGAGCAGCTAGGCTGCATAGATACATAGCGTCTGGTGGTAAGTAGACCCGCAGCAGGCTACAGCAGACGGCGGGCGTTCGACTCCCCGCGCGCCAAATTCTTAGGAAATCGGGCTTGAGTCAGGCTCGAACATTTTTCGTGTCGCGGCAGGTAGCCGGTGTTACTCTCTCCTTGGTGTATATTTATGGGCGGGATCGTATATAGAGGACTCGGAGCTTGCTTCGTTCTGGTGCCGTTGATGCTCGGTTGATACACAACGCCACTGCCAGTGCTCCGATGAATATTCACAACGCAAGGCCCCGTGAAAGACGCGGTAAAGGCCCGCAAGCCCACTGGCAAGGGAACCCGGCTGTGTGGTCCAACTCCCCGAATATCGCTCTGCCTCTTGAAATTTTTATACAGTGGGGTCTCGCGTATTCTGGACAGCCTGGGTTGGCTGACCATGGGAAGGCGACCTTCGTAGACAGAAAATGAGAAACATTTTTCGGAGGCGGGGCGGTTCAACTGGCGAGTCCGTCGTCCTCTGGCGTCTGATCCAGACATACAGGACCCGATGGTACACCTGCTCCCCACCATACACAGGCCAGTGGCGCGGACGCGGGGTTCGACTCCCCGTACGCCAGCCATCATGGGTAAAGTGAATATGTTTTGTGGCTTTCTTCGCGTCGTGGACGGGATGGTTCAAATCTGATAAGTACGCACTGCATGCGCCTTTGGCCCCATGTTTTCCGAGTTCATGTTGGGTGTTTTTGCGCTGGCGGATCGTGGCGGCGGCATGGGCGCCCATGGTTTGCGTTTCTCCTTTATGTAGGAGCTTGACGAATTAAAATTGGGCGAGGCGTTGAGACACATCACCGTATTGATCATGAATCCACAGCGATGAATAGGTCAGGTGCGACATTATCGTCGTCTAGCATCTGCCTGTCTGGTACAAATATACAGGATGCCATGGTATACCCGCATCCCACTGGCAGACTGTAGTCGTAGGCCCGCGCGCGCGGCGTTCGACTCCCCGCGAGCCAAATATGAAGTAACCGACTTGTTACCACTTTTTGTCGTCTTCTTGTTATGAAATCCATCCTGAATCACGCCGCGTGTTTGGACCCGCTCCTTTGTTATCGAAGCTGAGCTGTCGACAAGCACGACAGGCGACATGACCCTGGTCTTTGTCTGGCACCCCAAAAATCGACAGGAACCTTGAGGCCCGGGGCACCATCGTCTGGCATCCAATACAAACGCACAGGACCCCATGGTATACCCGCTCCGCTCCCCACCGCACAGACCACACGGGCGCGGTGTTCGACTCCCCGCGCGCCAAATGAATCGTCGAGAAATTTTGTGCCTATCTTCACGTCGCGGCCAAGGCCAGAGCCTCTGCCGCTCCCTAGCGTTTTTCTTTCGAGGCACGAGGCTGATGAGCACGACAGGGCGTGGTCCTTCATCTGACACCCAACGGCCCCATGGTGCAGTCATCTCCACCACAGCCCCCCGATTAAGCCCGGGCGCGGTGTTCGACTCCCCGCGCGTCGTACTTAAATTAGGTTTACGAAAGTTTTTTTGGGCCTCGTCGCACCGATGCGAACTTCGGGGACACCGTCGTCGTCTGGCATCCGATGCATCCATATGATACAGGACCCCGCGGTACACCTGCTCCTCAGCACGAACAAATACCACACGGACACACGGTGTTCGACTCCCCGTGCGCCAAATCACATGTGTTTGTCGAACTTTTGTGCCCTTCTTCACGTCGCGGCCGGAGAAGTGAGAGCTGTTGAACTGCCGCCGCTCCCTAGTGTTTTTGTCGAAACTGTTGATAAGAACGACATAGCGTCCCTAGCGTCGGTCCTCGTCTTGCATCTGACGGGCCCGTGGTACAGGCTGCATGCAGCCTGAGCTATTCCCCAGCAAACACGGGCGCGGTGTTCGACTCCCCGCGCATCGCATGTTGTTATGGGATTGAATACTTTTTTTGTCGACTTCCTCCGTTGATGAGGAGGAACCCTGGACAGCGGGAGAACCGTCAGTCCTGACGGGACTTTGGAAGAACATGGTACATTACCGCTTTGGAAGCCTTCTCTATGAATTATAGTCTGACATCCCCATACAACGCTCCTACAGCAGGCCCGCTACACGCTAGCATTGCCAGGCTGCTGCGCATACCGGAGATCTGTGGGCGCGGGGTTCGACTCCTCGCGTGGCGCGTACTTATGTCACAGTGGAGTTGGTTTTGTTGCGTCGGCAGCGCCCTTGGGCGTACTGTTGGGCGGTGGGTACTGAGTGAGGCGAAGGGTAGAGGGTGCGAGTGGTGTTTTCTTGTTTTTTTTTGTCGTTTTCTTTGCCCAAGAAACCTTTGTCGTTTGCAACCGCATACCAGTAGCAAGCGCGACATGGACCGCTCGGATCCACACGCACACGCCCAGCATTGTCGATATATCGCTATCCCCAGACGAGGGTTCGACTCCCTCGCCTGGTGTGGACCTCAGCCATATTGGTTTATATTTTGCGGATCGTCGTGATGAAGAGGCGCGATGAGGATGGATGGATTACTGTATGTTATGTGCATTATCGGGGTATAGCATAAGTATGGGTGTGCAGTACATTGTACAATACCGGGGTGGATGGGTATCTCTTCTCTCTTATTTTCCCCTCTCTTCCTTGTGTCCCTTCCCCTCTCTCTAACAATTCACGTTGAAGTGTTGGAAAATCAAATTAGCCCCAGGCGGCGGTCGTGCTTTTAATCGTGTCAGAGGAGGGTAAGAAATGGGGAGGGGAGGCGAACGGACCTGTAGTTCACGATGAGGTGTCCGTCGGTTGAGAAGGACTGTTTGGTTATCGGGGGTATCAGTGAGGTGTATGAGGGAAAGGGGAGACAGGGAAGACGCACCTTGAACAGATTAGACACTGTGTCGTCCGGCGCGGGGGAGAACGCGAGGTTGACGTATGTGAACTAGCAAGAATATCAGAGGGACGGAGGTAAAGGGTAGACAAGAAGGGAGCAGCAAACGCACCAGCGGATCCCCAGCCTGCCACCCCAACTCCTTCCGCAAAAACTGTATAACCGCCTGGAACCGGTTACTGCTCGTGATCTTGTAGAAGTTCTGCTTCATGATGGGAGCGTTGCCTACGGCTTTGAAGCGCACGATGACTGTTGCGTTCTTTTGTATTAGCGTCTCTTCACTCAGACCAAGGATAATTGGACGGGGGACGCACCCTTGGAGGGGTCGCGCTGCTTGTAGGTGTCGAGGGCTTTGATGGCCTCTGCGAAGCCGTCGGAGTGCTCTGGTGCACCCCAGGGGAGAGGCCGTGAGGGCGGGTCGGGGCTGCTTGTGGTGGTGTGCGCCATGTTAGTGATGGTTTGAGTCGAGGCCCAAGGATCCGTGAAGTAGAAGGAGGCAGGGGAGGGTTGTGATACGACTTGGGGTAAGAAGTCAAGAAATCGGGTATGGTGTAACGGCTAACATTGCCGCCTCTCATGTCTTTGATGGAGATTTCTTACTTGTTACGCGGCAGCTCGGGGTTCGATTCCCCGTACCCGAAAAACTTTTTGGTGTTCAGACATTGATGACGTCAGGCGCAACAGACCCAAACACCGTGACTGGTTCGCTTCCCTGCGTAATCAGAAACGCAATCACCTTCATCTCTTCCATCTGCCCTCTGCCCAGAATAATGGGCAACGCCCCCTCCACTTCCAACGCCTCCTCCAATGGGCGTCCCACAACCCTCTCCCCGCGTCCAAGGCAGAGCAGCACCTCCCCTGCCCCATCCCCAGGGAATCCCCACCCTTCTTTACGAACAAAAAAGCGCTCCCTGGAGCTCCCGGACCTCGCGTCCTTGACATTATCGAGCACGAGGGGCCGCCCGCATGCACCCCCGCCGAAGAGCGCAAGTATACCAATCCCTGCGGCGCCCATTGCCGTGAGTGCGATCCCTGGGGAGGCGGGGCGCCGTGCCCCGATTGAATTGCCGAGTAGTGTTGATGTTAGGACTTTGGTTGAGGGGGAGGGGGAGGGGAGAGATAGGGAGAGAGAACATAGAAGTAGGAGTAGGGAACGTGATAGGAATCGCGAAGCCCATAGGGACAGAGATCGAGACAGAGATCGTGGAGATCGGGGGGACAGGGAGCGAGAGAGAGATCGGGGAGAAAGAGATAGAGAACGCGAAAGGGAGAGGGAGAGAGCAGAGCGGGACCGAGAGAGGAGGAATAGGCGCATGCAGGATCTTTATGAGTCCTCGCAGCAGCCTGCAGCTCCGCCCGCTTCTCAGTTCGTGCCAGAGACCGTTATATCGGCGCTCCCTATCGCACTCACAAAAGCGCATGCACCAGAAGTTGTGGTAGAGCCCGTACCCGTCACTGTCACTTGGCGCGGTGGAGGCAAGACCGTCTTCCTCGCACGCGCAGGAGACGACGATTGGAAGGGAAGGCTTCCGATGTCCCCCGAGTACGTCTCTTTCCTTTCTTCTCCTCTTTCTCCTTCATTTCTTCGTCCTCTCCGTTATAATTTCACTTCTTTATCCTCGTCTTTTTCTTATCACGATAACAAAACTAATACTATTCCCCCCCACAGATCGCCAACCTCCCCAATCTTTCATGCGACCGTCGCCCTTCCCCCGGGAACACACCACATCCGCTTCCTAATCGACGAGCTCTGGCGCGTAGCGGACGACCTTCCCACCGCCGTCGACGACCAAGGCTCCCTCGCAAACTACGTCGCAGTCCCCATAACCTACTCCCCCCCACCCCTCTCCGCCGTCCCTACCGTGCCCTCTTCCCCCCCTGCCTCTGCCGTTACCCCTGCCCCCGTTTCCGCCTCCGCACCCACAGCGAGACAGAGAACGACACCACAAGGCCAGAGTTTCTGGAGCGCCGCGAGCAGCACGAGCGACGATGTAGAGGATACGCACGCGCGGACTACGCCCTCGCATGCCCATACGCATTCGCACGCACACGCACAGAAGGTGCAGCAGCAGGCCGTGTGGACTTCCGTGTTACCACAGGAACTCATAGAGGCTGCACATGAGGAGGAGACGTATCTCGCAGCGTCGGAGGGGCATCCCCCGCCACATGGGGGACACGGCACGCATAGGGTCTCGGGATTCGTCCCCGCGCCTAATATCCCCCCGGCTCCGGGGCTCCCGAGGCATTTGGATAAACTGATTTTGAATGCGAGGAGCGTGGTGGCGGGCGGTGCCGGAGGAGCTGTGAGGGGTGGTGGCACTTCTGGGAGTGTGAGTGGGACGGGGGACGGGGCGAGTAATAGTGTCGTTGGGAGGAGCAAAGGAAGGGAGAGGGAACGCGAGAGGCGGGATGGGGAGACGAGAGAACGCGAGAGGAGGGAGAGGGATTGGAGGGATGAGCGAGAGAGGGGCGGGAGGAGGGATAGGGAACGCGAGAGGGAGAGAGATAGAGATGGGCATAGGGAGAGGCGCAATGCCCCGCCCCCGCCCCCACCGCCCAGCGAAGCGGGCAACGACGACCGCGAGCCCGAGGGGACCACAACCACCGTGACCGTCTCCCCTCCCCCCAGCTCGCCCACCTCCCCTCACCATCACCCCCATCCCCATCCCCCCTCCCCACACCCTTCTTCCCCCTACCCATCCTCCCCGCACGCCCAGTCCCTCCCGAACCCTACACATCCAACACG